GGTTTCTCCCCTGTGTGGATTCTCATGTGGTTTTTCAGGGTTTTGCTGTGGCCGAAACTCTTCCCACATTCCAGACATGTAAAAGGTTTCTCCCCGGTGTGGATCCTCATATGGCGAACCAGGTGTGTTCTGTAACCGAAGCTCTTTCCACAATCTACACATTTAAAAGGTTTCTCTGTGTCAGTTCCCTGAAGGAAAACAAGGTTCGGTCTGTTTTGGAAGCTCTTTCTCTCTTTCTCTCTGTGGCTTCTTTGATGAGAAGTGAGGTGCGCGGTCTGCCTGAAGCTCTTCCCACATTCCAAGCATGCAAACGGTTTCTCCCCTGTGTGGATTCTCATGTGGTTTTTCAGGGTTTTGCTGTGGCCGAAACTCTTCCCACATTCCAGACATGTAAAAGGTTTCTCCCCGGTGTGGATCCTCATATGGCGAACCAGGTGTGTGCTGTAACCGAAGCTCTTTCCACAATCTACACATTTAAAAGGTTTCTCTGTGTCAGTTCCCTGAAGGAAAACAAGGTTCGGTCTGTTTTGGAAACTCTTTCTCTCTTTCTCTCTGTGGCTTCTTTGATGAGAAGTGAGGTGCGCGGTCTGCCTGAAGCTCTTCCCACATTCCAAGCATGCAAACGGTTTCTCCCCTGTGTGGATTTTCACATGGCTGGCAAGGTGTCCGCTCTGGTGGAAGCTCTTTCCACATTCGAAGCATTTAAATGGCTTATCCCCAGTGTGGATCCTCAGATGATGAGCGAGGGACTTCCTGTGACTGAAGCTCTTTCCACACTCTACACATTTAAAGGGTTTCTCTGTGTCATTTTCCTGAGGGAAAACAAGGTTTGGGCTGTGCTGGAAGCTCTTTCTACTTTCAAAGCTCTGAAAAGTTTGATGAATTCCAAAGGGTGAATGATCCCAAAGACTCTTGGCACCTTCTGGGGTTTTCAACGGTCTCCCTCCCGTGTGGATTGTCCAAGCAGCACTTAGACTACAGTTATTTCCGTACAAAGAACATTTACCCGTTTCCTTCCTTTTCTCTCTGTTTTCCTGAAGCAGAGCATCTTGCGAATCTCTGAGTGGTAAAGCAAAATCTTCATTTCTACTGTGTGTATTTGTTTCACTTCTCCTTCCTTGAAGATGACTCTCTTTACAAACAATTCTTTCCAAGCCTACCCAACACAATTCTTCCTGGTTCTCGCTTTGTCTTCCCTCACAGGCTGAAATAATATAAACAAATTCCCATTGGAAGGGGGCACCTCTGGATGCTGAACAGGTTGACATCGCCCCTAATACCCTAGACACCCCAAAGTGACCAGGAGGGAGAATTTGGAAGTAAACATGAGAAAAGAACCGTCTATCCCCTTCCTGACTCTCAGACATTCTGCACCACAGTTAGTCTGATACTCTTAAAAATCTACCTTTCGGCCCCACCTCCTTTCCCTGTTTCTCTAAAGAGGCAGAGCTATCACTGGTCCTTTCCTGTCTGCTTTCTGGAGAATGTATCGATTAGTGAGGATTAAGCTATAGACCTTTACATCTGAAATGGAATATCCTATTCAAGTGACTAGTTGTTTTTCAGATGTCTTATTTTGTATTTGCAGTGGGACTGAGCATTTAAGTATCATAGCAGTGATAGGCAACATATTCTCCAATAGAAGCCAAAAGAATGGAAGCACCATTTGCACTGTGGATCTGTCGACTGAAGGGAAAGAAGATTTGCAGTGGGACTGAGCATTTAAGTATCTAAACGCCACCCATTGTGCAACAGAAAGAAAAAGTTTCATAGTTTAATTCTCTCTCATCTTGTGAACATTCATAGCAGTGATAGGCTACATATTCTCCAATAGAAGCCAAAATAATGGAAACACCATTTGCACTGTGGATCTGTCGATTGAAGGGAAAAAAGCAAAGCTCACCCAAAGACAACACATTTTCACGTGTCTCCTCCATGACATCCCTGTGGCAAGCCCTTTGGTTCTGATCCAGCAATGCCCACTCCGCCTCTGTGAAATTCACAGCAACTTCGTCAAAGGTTACAGGACCCTGAAAGAAGAGGAAGCCTTTCATCCTCAGAGAGAATGCGGTTGTTCGACTCTCACTAAATACCGCCAAGAAGAGAATGAACACATTTAGAGATGGGCACGAACCGGTTTGTCCTAGTGCATAAGAGGGGCGTTAGAGATGGGCATGAACCGGTTTGTCCTAGTGCATAAGGGGGGTGGCACATGTACTGCTGGTCTCCTGCCCTGCCTCCTCTGGCTCAACCAGCGACTCACCAGGCCCAGCACCCTCACTTCCTGCACCCCCTCCAGGCCCAGAAGCAGCTCAGGCCTCACGGCCCCACCCCACCCTTGGCTGACCTGCCACTCAGAGAAAGGGGCGGGGCAGAGAAGTCTGTGCTCTTGCTGGTAACTAGGAGATCAGTTGAGGATGTGGGAAAAGCAAGCAAGTTCAGGTGAGTGAGTGGTTGATTGGATAAAGAGGCAGCGGAGGGGAGCCACAGCCCGACACAAACTGGGACGAATTGGTGTACGCCCTTCTCTAAGCACAAAAAGTGGCCTGGGAATCCGAGGCCTGACTTAACTATTCCCTGAGGAAACCGCCGGGCCATTTACTACATAATATTGAAAGGAGTGAATAGAAGGGAGCAAACGGTATCCAGCCGAGGAGGCAGACAGGAAACAAAGGTGCCCAGGCTCCTTCCCCATCTCCCCATCCAATCCCCTTTACCTGTTCTGGCTGCATAGGCATAGCTTCCATTCCTCCGCAAAGGAGAGATGAGGGAGAAGTTCCCTGCATATTTTCAATGCCTGCAAGGAAAGATCTCTTATTCTTCACATGAATTTTATCCCCAACGGACTCAAAAATAATCTTCCTACTTTCATCAACAAAACATTCGTGAATTGCATGCAGGAGGCCTCAAAGGCCATTCACTGGCTTTGGAAAGATGCAAAGAAGGGAGATCGAGAAGAAATGGGCTGACTGGGTCTTACCCTGGGAGACGGCTCCTCCAATCCCCTCCAGCCTGTTCCTCGGGAGCAGTGGCCTCTGCCCGAGGGACAAAGGGGAGTCCACTGCCAGAGGGGAGCCAGGGATAGATTCTGAAGAACCCTGTACAAAAAAACCACAAACTCACACACAGCAAATTCTGGATACCCAACACAAGAACGGAGGAACAAATTGAAAAAATAATAGAGGAAAGAACATCAGATTCAGGAAGACGAGTGGAAATGTTTGGTTAGGCAACTTATTAAAAAACTATAGACCAGAACTCTCACCAGCTCCTCTAACTCCTCCTTATCCACTCTCTGGCTCAGGAGGAAACCTTCCGCCAGCGACACAGCCTGCGAAGTGGTTTCCGGTTTGCACTCTCTGACCCAGATCTTCATCGCTGGTGGCAGCACAGCCAGGAACTGTTCAAAGACAATCAGGTCCAGGATTTCAGCCTTGGTGTGTTTTTCTGGCTTCAGCCACTGACGGCAGAGACGATGAAGTTGGCTACAAACCACTCGGGGCCCTTCATCCTCCTGGTAGCTGAATTCCCGAAAATCTTGGCACTGGACCTCTGGGTTAAGGAAGACCGTATCAAGGTTGTTCTGTCCAGTTTTTTCTGGGAATTCCTCGTTGCTCCAACCCTCCATGTCATTCAGCTCCTTTCCAGCTCCAGAACTGGCCGAGACCTCCACTTTCATCTCCAATAGGAGCCAAAAGAATGGAAGCAAATGGACCGCCTTTTCCCTCTGTAGGAAAAGCAAAGACATACCAAAAGTCAGGGTCAAGCTCAAGGCTTGGGAATGGTTCCTTTATGTGAAACAGAGATTGAAGGAGGAGAAAACAACTG